AAACTAATTTTATTATAAAAATGAAATTGATATTAATCAAAATGTGAGCTATATAAACGTTACAGACACACTTTTCGCTATCAGATAACTAAAACATATTGCGACAGTATACGTATACGATTGGATTTGGTCGATGCAAATTGCATCGGATGCACGTGCAGTTGTTGGAAAGTGGCACGCCTGATGTTGTTGCTGCTGTTGATGATGATGATTATGATGATGTTCCATCATCATGGGTGCATCGATTCGGGCGCGCACGTAAGTTTCGTGTACACCGCAATTTGCACCAAATTAACTTTGGCATTGCGAAAGAGGAAAACGTAAATTATTTGCACGTCCACAATAACAGATCATTAGTATCGGAGAGCTACTCGCACACAAACTCGTACGCTTCCTTTCACTCTCGGATTCATTGCAATCCCTTTAATTTGACACTCGCATCCTGCACACGCAAACTCCAAATAAAACAACAGATGGATGGAAACAATGCAGAACAAAAAATAAATGAAACGAAAATCTATGATTGCTTTTTTACTGTTTCTGTTTCTGTTTTCTGTTGAAATAATGATCGAATATTGCCACTAATGATGCAAAAAAAACACAATTTTATTTATACTTTGCATGATTTAAGGTAAGAAAACTAGTAAATGTATACATTCACTATGATTTATGGGTTGGTTGCGTTTTTAAACAAAATATATTATGATAAAAAGTATGTTTTCTACAATAACATTTTTAAATGATTTGCTTGGAAAATTTTTATTAAAAAAAGTAAACAAATCTGCAATTTTTATTAACAAAAACTCTCCTACAAAAAACGTCTGATAATTATGCACCAAAACAATATAACTTCTTCCACACAATCTTGCTTAACTTTTGTTTAAAGAGCCTACGCTAAGTAAATATTAGAGATATACTGTCTCCCATTCATATAACTTCCTCAATACAATCTTGTTTAACTCTTGTTACAAAATGTACGGTGTGCAATTCATATAACTTCCTTCACAGACTGTTGTTTAACTCTTTCTCAGATCTAACGCAAATTAAAAGATGAACAGGAATCCGTTTTTTTCTTATAAACACTTAATAGCGACATTATTTTCACATGCTCTTTTAGAAAGCAAATATTAATTCGAAATATAATAATGAGATATGCAATTTAATTGTTTTTTGTTTTCATAGAAATTATTGATGTACTTTCTCTCACCATACAACCAGAATTTTCTACTTTATTTATTTTAACAACATTTACAGGCGACTTTAAGAAATCTTATAACTAGAAAAAAAATACAATTTTTAAACAAATTTTAGTCTTTTCTACAACAAATACAGATGAGTTTAAGTGAAATTATATGGTGTAAAACAGGGATGAGCAACCTTTTTAATCAACGGGCCAATTTAAATTTTAAATTTTTTTGTCGGGCCGCACATAAAGTAACACTTATTAATAATTTACAAAACTTTATTTATAATAAACATTAGAATACAAAAATATCAAAATTTAAAAAAAGTAAAGATTTCATATACAAATTTTAATGCAAAATGAAAACAAACAATAAAACGAATTTACTTGAAATTTTTAATGAGAAATTTGGCATTGTTTTTTCGATAGAAGCTGATCAATATTGAGGTAGCTACACGTACGCAGCTTTCTAATCGTACATCACTCAATATTGATCATTTGCTTTGCATTTTTCGTCAAAAGCGGAAATTTCTCAGGGCTCACATACGATTTATATTTTTTTTTATGTTTACTCAGAAAAATATTTTTTTTTAATCGGTATTATTCTGCATCACTTCCATTTTAAAGTCTTCGGGAACTGTATCCATCCACATCGATATTAAATGGTTAAGAAAACATTTTAATGGAAACCGCTGTCTTCTCAGCTTTGAACATTTGGAATCATAATTGAAATTCGTTGATTAAAATGTCTGTATATTGTGCGTATTTTTAGTAGTAAAGTTTTCTTTTTCTAAATGTGGAAAGTGAGACACATTATTCAGCAAAAGTTGCTGTTTCCACAATTTTCATTTGCGCTCAAAGCCCTGAATTTTATCATACAAATTGTGAATAAACTGTCCTTTGCCTTGAAGTTCCACATTAAGATCATTGAGATGCTGAGTCATGTCGATAAGAAACCCAAAATCGCACATACATTCTTTATTACCAAAATGAGGAATGGCATATCCCTTTATATCCAAGAACAATTGTATTTCCATTGTATTACTATTATATTATAATTAATTTTATAACAATATATTGATGGGAGAAAGTCGATAAAATAAATTCAATTTTAGAAATGCGTGTTGCTCATCCCTGGTGTAAAACAAATGACACTTGAAGATTGTTACATCTAGTGGACTATTACCCTATATCTATATAAGTATTTGTTATCAGGATTTGAAAAAAAAATATGTAAGTATATTTATGTTGAACAAATATCATGAGGCAAATTGAAGAAAATGGACTCCAACCAATAAGTAATTTTTTTGACAAATTAGATAAGAATAAATTTGTTTCAAAGAAACATAACTGTTTACTAGTAACAAATATCCAATATGAATTATAAAAAAAAAATAAATAAAATATTTATTTTATTCATATTAGAAAAAAAATCTTTGCTAATTCTAATTAAAACAATATATTTATAAAGATCGAAGCATATGAATGATTTATTATTCAATACTGTATAAGTATAATAAATAATTCTTCTCAATCGATTCAAGCAGCGTTCAGAGTTTGTAAATTAGAAGCATATTTATTTGATAAATTACTATTAACTTCTAATTAATTAACTTAATTATTCGTTAATTTATCGTTAAATTTGTATGAGATTTATCACTTTAATTACACTCAATATATTTCTGATATATTCCAAACACTTTCATTTCAAATTTATCGATAGTTTCTTAATGATCATGTAAATCAGTTTATAGATAGTATATAGATTGAATGTAAAGTGATTTAAAGCTATGATTAAACTGAAATTTAGTCTCTTAATTGCCACATTTATATAAACAAATTTCTACAGTAATTTTTGTTTTGAATGACTGTACACATTCAAAACAAAAATTGATTAATTTTTTTTCTGCGATTTATTTTTCTATGTATTTATTTCTTTGATTAGTCCGGTTTTTAACAGTCGCACTATGCGAGGTGTCTATGTGTTTATATTTAACAAAATAAGTTCAATGTTCGAAATTTTTAACACCATTTTAAAATTTATTACTATTATAGACTTTATATTATACTTGGAAATTGATTTGAACTTTATCAAAATATATAACTTTTAATTATAATCTGTCTTAAAATCACTTAAACTTGTGTTTAACTCTTAGTAAACGACTAAAATTAAGTCAATTTTAGTAGTTGAAAATTGGATTTAACTGGATCAAAGTATAAAACATTTTTATATTATAGTTGTAAACGGTGCAGATCAAAATCCATAATCCCGACAAAGTTAAAATCCTGACAACGGTAATCCCGAAAGTATCAAAATTCCACCAGGTCCCATTGATACGTAGAACATACGGATACCTTTTTGAACACTCCGAATTCAAGGACTTTTATAACAATTTTATACAACCTAATTCAACAAAGTTGAATGCTTTCCCCGAATTAGAGAGAAAGGATTGCCAAAATCCGCTAAAAATTTTCGGGATTTTGATACTGTCGGGATTTCGAATGTCGGGAATTTGATTGTTGGGATTTCGATATAGACCCAGTTGTAATAGATTTAAATTAACATTTTTATAAGTAATAAACTGTATAAAATAACATTTAGGTGTATCTAGACTATTATAGACTTTATATTATACTTGGAAATTGATTTGAACTACATCAAAATATATAACACTATAACCTGTATTAAAATCACTTAAACTTGTGTTTAACTCTTAGTAAAGGACTAAAATTAAGTCAATTATAGTAGTTGAAAATGGTTTTTAACTGGATCAAAGTATAAAACGTTTTTATGTTCTAGTTGTAAACGGTGCAGATCAAAATCCATTATCCCGACAAAGTTAAAATCCCGACAGTATCAAAATTCCCGACAGTATCAAAATTTCACCAGGTCCCATTGATACGTATAACATACGGAATACTCTGAATTCAAGTGCTTTTATAACAATTTTATACAACCTAATTCAACTAAGTTGAATGCGTTCCCCGCATTAGGATAGCCAAAATCCGTTAAAAATTTTCGGGATTTTGATACTGTTGGATTTCGAATGTCGGGATTTCGTTATAAACCCAGTTATAATAGATTTAAATTAAATTATAAGTAATAAATTGTATAAAATAACATCTAGGTGTATCCAGTTAAGAAAATTTATGATCCTTGTGTTTCTAAATACCGTCTGACACGTATGGCCTTTATCTACACTGAATGAACTGTCGCCAGTCACATAAGTAGGAAGTATAAACAAAGACAAACATCATAGATTACTCACGGAGGGTTTCCGATAAGGACACTTTTTTGCTCGCTGCAGGGTTATCTAGTTCAATTCCCTTTTTTGCCGTTGAATAAATAGGATTAGATTAGGTTAATTCGTTGGATAAAGCCGAGCATAACGATCCGCAAACACGTAACAAACGGAGCAAACTATTACAAATTTTTTTTGTTTCCATATTTGCGCTGAATCGATACTTTTTACACACGTTTATAAACATGAATTGCGTGCAAATTCGTAATAATTGTAACCAATTCGATTATGTAAAATGAACAATTAAATAAATTTGGAAAAATTGTAGAAGACAAATTAAATGAAGTAATTAATATTGTTATTGTTGTTCAACTGTTACATTACAAATGACTCATGGTTTTGGTAATAGGATCCTTTTAGACCCGAAAATCGCGTGATTTTCGTGTATCTGTTATAAAATACTCATTAAAAATTATAACACATTGATTCAGTTTATGCGTATACTTATTGCGGAAATTTATATAATTAAATGCAGTATAAAAATATTCACTACATTAAATTGTTTTGATTTTCAGATTCGTGGTTGAACGTGTTGTAAAGTGTTGCTGATTGGATTCGTCCCAGAAACTTTATAGTAAACAGGTAAGATTTTTAATATTATAATATATACAAATTGTAATTAATAATATCTATCAAATATTAACAAGATTGATGTAAAATGTAACAAAAGTTATGTAACCAATAAAAGACAATTTTCGACCGCTGAAGATCGAATTAAAGCTGAAAGACTCACCTTTCCAACTAGCATACTCGCCGAGCATTCTGCTGAAATCTATCCATTTGCTATGATCTATCAAAAGTATCGTTGCACTGAAAAGGAGCATCTTCATGTGTTCGTTAATTTCAGGATAACTACGCTGGATAATTACATAATTAAAAAAGAATCGTAAACTAGAGATTTCCATCTTTCGAATGAGCCTGCTGAACAATTCTAGCATCGATATTTCGATTTTGAAAGTGCTTGAAAATTACCGAAAGTTTGCAGAAATTTCGCGCAATTTTTCTGACATTTTGTTAAAATTGTAATAGATAGAAAATTGAGTTTTTGTTAATTAACTTTTTTCTTATTTTATTCAATAATCAAATGCGGACAAACGTTGTGCTCCAAAGAATTTTCAGTTTTTTTTTCATTAATTATCTCGAAAGTTAAGTAACTTTTCTACATTTTTATTGTAGAATCGTAAACTAGATGCCAGCATCTTCAGAATGAAATATTTGTAGTTTCAATATGGGACAAAAGGCACCTAATAATAATGTATGAATTATCAAACATACGTTAAATGAACATTGACTATACGGATTGAACAAATAATTTGCGCAACCGAACTCTGCGATAATCCAAGAATAAATGTATCTCACATTAGCACAAATAATTGATATAATTATACAAAAACGACTATAATTCGATGAAATAATAAAAACGGTGCAGATCAAAATCCATAATCCCGACAACCGTAATCCCGACAGTATCAAAATTCCACCAGGTCGCATTGATATGTAGAACATACGGAATACTCCGAATTCAAGTAGTTTTATAACAGTTTTATACAACCTAATTGAACAAAGTTGAATGCGTTCCCCGCATTAGAGAGAAAGGATTGCCCAAATCCTTTAAATTTTTTTTCGAATTAACATTGATTATACGGATTGCACAAATAATTTGCGCAACTGAATTTTGCGATAATCCAAGAATTAATTTATCTCATATTAGCACAAATAATTGATATAATTATACAAATACGACTATAATTCGATGAAATAATAAAAGTAAGAGCTATAAAATACACATTACAGATACAGCATTAAATCAACGGATTTAAAAGCCGTTTCTATTTGAATGATGAAATCTGGTTTTAATCTTAATTTCAAGCAATTAAATATAATGGGGGGAACAACCATTATGGATTTCCGTTGTAATATACGGGCTAGTGCATGTATGCATACACGCATATCTGTCTGTATAGACATGAATGTGCGTTTAGGCGTGTGATAGAGAGAGAGAGTTGATTTGAAATTTGAATTCTCCGACAATTACATTGGCATCACATATAATTGATGTAGTCCAAATAGACACGGGGGATGGTGGCAAATGGCTGGAAATTAACAATGCAAATTGGCCAGATCAAATAGAATCATTCTATTATGTAAGATCTCCGCGCGCTTCGTGTTGTTTGATTTGTGGGTGAGAGCAGCTAGCTCCCTACTTGTTTGCCCGTATTTTCCATTATCTTGCATTTATAATCGTCCAGTATGTACCTTCCTTATAAATCGAGCGGACTAAATTATAGTAAATATATTATGGTTGTATTATATTTAGAAGGTCTAGATTTCAATCTAAAATAAATGTAATTTACAATGTTTTTGATATTTATTCTTATATTAAATTCGTTCCGTAACCTTGCTCGTATGTCAAATTGCTCGCATCTCAAAGCAATTTTTCCCATTGAAATTAATTGAAATGCCATTAATTCGTTCCAGCTCCCAAAACATAAGAAAAATGTATTTACAAGAAGAAACATTTATTTATAAATAACAAATACATATTCTATAAAAACATAATAAAAGAAAATTTTTCGCTACGCTTTGCTCATTTTCACCAATTCAATTTCAATTTTAAAATTTTTATTTACATATTTGTACTACCATGACATAGGGCGTGATATTAAATGTAGACTGCTATGGGCTTTAGCCTCTTTCAGCCTTCTGTTATTAGGTTTTACAAAAAAAAAACATCAACAATAATAATAAGCAAATAAACAGAGATAGAAGAACACAAATAAATATTAGTAACAGAGTACAGTGTAATGAAATAAATGAACTGAGCGAGGACACAAATATATATATGCACTTAAACAAATATCACTTCACTGCACGAAAAAGCGTAGGAAGAATGTTTTACATCACTGAGGGGTTGCGTAGGAGTGTTTTTTAAAGTCTTGGAGAAGTTGTGTTAATGTGGGGTCGTTGGATTTAGCGTAGGACGCCAGCACGGCAGGGGGGTGAGGGGTCCTTTGGAACTTTGGAGAATGTTGGGGGTTTGAAGAGTAAGAGGGTGGGGTGATCTTGAAGGGCTATGCGTGAAGCGAGTCGGCCTTGGAGTTTTTTTTTTATGTATTCGATGATGGGAAGGTGACCAGGTTATAGAGGGTGGAAGAGGGGTGTCA